AGAAGTTGCATCGCAGATAAGGAGCCCCGGGCAGCCGAAGCTTAGTCAGTTTTGAAAGCGCGAATCGATTGCAATTAATGCAATAAAATATATAATATAGAAATATTTCTCTGTATATATTCGAGTCTATACAATATGAGTCGTTTGAATGTGTGTTATCTTTTAACATATTTAAATGCTCATTAACAAACGCAAAAACAGAAGTTCGATAACGCGTCAGTAGCAATGGCAACAACAACACATTTAGCACACTCGGCAACTAAACAAAAAAAAATACAAAAAAATATATAGAACAAAAACAATAAATACAACTACAGAAACAACAACAAATACTTGAGCAATATTATAAAACAAAGACAGAAGCAAAAACAACTTCAAAGCTTACAACGACGCGAGTGTCGAACTCGATGACAACAAATCAAATCAAGTGCAAAGACTTTGCCCTATGACTACACTAACCGAATGCGCGAATCCAGTTATATTATATACTGTACATTGTATATATATGTATATATGTGTATGTCATATGTTGTGCATGGGTTAACGAAATCTTCAGTTTCCTTGGGTATTAGTTGTTTCCGAGCACAAAGGCGCACGTTGCCATAAGCTTGGCAAGTTCAATAATAAATAATAAAAAAAAAAAAAATACAAAAATAAGCACGAAGAAATTAACAAAGATAACGGACGGCAATGTTTCGCTGTTTTCAAAAGCATGAAATTGCCCCAATAACGACGGCAACAGGGAACAACTGTTTCACGGCACCTGATAAATTCGATCTGCCGAAGCGAACCAGCCAGCGATTTGCAATGGTACTCGTGTGGGAATTATCTTCTATTCAAATGCATGCATACTGTCAGCATAACTCAATGCAACTGACCTCAGAGCTGCCCTGTGAAATTGTCAGTAGTAGTAGGCTCTGCTGCTTTATAAAATGTCAACCCAAAAAAAATGTATACTACTGAAAAAGAAATACCCTGAAAGGTGCTTAGTATACATATTGCCTAATTTAGTAACAAACTTTAATTCACTTCAAGCAGTAGACAGATCTGAGAACCTTTTCTCCCCATAAAGTCATTTTTATGATCTCAACAAAATTTTGTTTATAGCTGTCGTAGTCTCAAATTGCTTATGAATAAAACAAAAGTACATCGACTAGTGCTGACTTCATAACAGTTGTTTAAGTTCTGTTATTTTAATAATTATACCTTAAATAATACGCCCGGATATTATACTTAAATATTAATATATATAGAAATATATATGTATGCAAAAGAGAATATTATAATATATATTATATATACTTTTTATTATATGCAACATTTATTTATAGCATTTGTAACCTTTTCTTTTTGTTTATAAGAATAGTGTATTAAATAAAATAAAAAAATAAAACATGTATAAGTAAAAATATACATATATGTTTGATTATATATTAATTTTATACATATAATTTTTTGAAGTTAATTTCTGAAAAATTGATGAAGTTAGAAAGTCAGAAAAATAAAAAATTAAATATTAAACTCATTAAATTATTTCTTTGCAGTTATTATATTGTTCAACAGCTTTTCACAAATAAATTTTATAAACAACCTAAAAATCTTAAATTACCTCCAAATCTGCTCTAACAAACTCCATGATAATTCCATTGTATCCCAATAAAGAGTATTATTAGAAATACAGAGATATTTCATAGTTTTGTTTTGTTTTTTTTTTTTTTTTCATCATCGCTTTGGCTGCCGCCTTAGCAGTCGACTGCGCCGCCAACAGCGCCAAAACGCCAACGCCGACGTCGCTGCTAAGACACTTGTCGATATTGATAAGGACTATCTAGGCAGAATGCCAGCGGGCGCGGCTCGGGTGCACTAGCTGCCTGTCAATTGAACATAAAAATGAAAATAAGTAACACAACGATAATAGCTGAAATTTTCGGCGCTGTGTTATCAGCCAAAGACATTGTGTTTAACTTGGACTTTACTCGCTGGAGAAACAGTAAGTATCCATGTTGTTTCCATGACCAACGAGTTGGCTTCTCCTTGTTGAGACCTCGAACGGAGCGGGAAGGGGTGGGTTGAGCAGGGCAGGGGCGGGGCGGGGCTAGACTAAAGTTCAAGACTGACAACATGTGCTAAAACCCAAGCCAGGTCAATGATCACACTGCTCCACGGCGATGATCGCGAAATGGCAAGTGTTTGCCCTTTGTCGAGGGCGAGAGCAATACGTGAGTGACAGCTAGCCATGGAGGTGTGGCCCGCGATAAGCGCTGCAGGTTGACTAACTATCGAAGCCCAATACACATATATACGATGTATCTCTCTGTATGGAATACATTTCGATTGAGATTTTCCTAATCTGAAATTGAAGCGCTTCGAGTCATGCTCAAGACGTCAACGTCGACGTCGACGTCGACGGCAAAGTCAACTTTAGCGGCGACGACGACGTCAGCTGCGACAGCAACGGATCGGACGCTGTCTTCGTAATTGTATTTGTGTTTGTATTTGCGATAGCCGCTTGTGTCGATCGTCGCTGCGACGCTATATACGACTACAGTCACACACACACACATCCAAACATATAGAGAAGTAAACGTTAACTCGCAAGGGTTTTTCAAAAGCAAATTTCAGTTGGTATAAAACACACGAGTCGCGAGGAAGCAGAACCAGAACGCGATTCCATTCCGTTAAAACATCAACAATAACAGAACAAAAATCAAATACGAAATAAAACAAGAAAAGTAGAGTCGCGTTCGTTGTTGAATATTTCACGCCCATAGGTAAATACGAGGCATGACTTATTACTGAAAATTACTGTCAACATTGAAAGCGCGGATTGCGTTTGGGGCTCATTTTTTCTGCTCACTATTCGAAATTAAGCCCGCAAAGTGCAGTTGGCAAATTGTTCCGTGCTCCAAAACTAATTGAAATGCATTTTGAAACACGCAGGCTACCCGGATATCAAATAACCAATACACACACACACACACACACACATTCCACCCCCCCACACACACACACATACTCAATATGGCCAACGTGGACATCAGCGAGGAGGCATTCCATCTGCGCATCGGCTACATGAAGCCGGATACCATGGAGATCGCTCGTGCCGAGCTGCGCGAAACCGACGAGCTGAGAGCAGAGTCACTTCAGAAGCTGCGCGAATTGCTCAAGGCAACGCCAGAGCTCAACTACAAGGACGACGATGCCTTCCTCTTGATCTTCCTGCGTGTCTGCCACTTCTATCCGGAGAGCGCATTGGAGAAGGTGCGTATTCCAATTAATTTTGAGTGAAAGGTGCTCTACAGCTATTTAGCAGTCGGATTTCTTTGGAAATCAGGCATCAATTTGGAATTGAAATTGTGAAAGACTTTAAACTTAATTGAAATGGAACCATTTATAGGCTCATTAGGTTCATAATCAGTGACCATTTCAGTGCTCAAATAGAAATTCCTTATAATTGTCAAATGGTGTGTTCCATAATGAGTTTAAATGTGAAAATAGTTGACAACAAATCTTCTAAGTTTTTGCAATCCTGCCTGCACAGAAGTTGTAAAAATAAGTGATCCAAACAGGATCTGCATATGCTACACATACATACATATGTACATATGCTATGCAAATACACAAATGTGTATGCTCCATATTCCCCGCTAATCTACGTACGATCCTTATCAAATCCATATCCTATGCGAATTATTTGTATGTCACATATATATTATATATAATTCGGAAGTGAATAACACGATATGGGTAGGATTATGATACACGCGCGATCCACACATGGTGCACATATAATCCTCAGCTAAAATATATACGATTTACATTTGATATGCATATGATTCAGTTATGATATGCAAACTACCCATATATAATATAAAGCGACCCACATATACCACAGATTTACTAAGTAAATAGATTACAAATGTTTCTTTACAAATTTCTAATTAAATAAAAATTCTATGAAATTCATACTATAAAACTACTTTAAACACTAATAAATATTCTATAAATACAAAATTAAAATAAACTATGTATTATAATAAGGGTATAACAGAAAATAGAAAAAATGTATAATATATTATTTCCAGCAGTCAAACATAGTTTTTAAAATTAATTTATTAATACCTAAAAAAAAGGCACTGCATTCAATGAAGTCTACACATTCCTTATATGCAGTACACAATCAATCTAGTTCACAAATTGAACTCCAATCCCACCCACGTATCAGTTAATGATTAACAACATCCGATTCGCATCGGCAATCGAGCTTAAAATACATCTAGGGATCGCCTTATCAGTGCTGAGCTAGGCTGGGCTGATATACCTATTGACCCGCCATAAGACAGCTCGGAGTACAGAGCGGGGTCTACAACCTCAGCTCTGTGTAATCTGAGCGAAAAATGAGCTCCTTAGCTGACTCGAAACAAAAATGGAAAAAGAGAATCAAAATCAACTGAAATGAAATAAGAATTGGAGAATACTCTTTTAGGTGTATCAATTTTGAATGACTAAAACCTGAATAGCTAGAAAACTTTTATGGGTAAGCAAGCCTTTAGATGCTATAAAATTATATGGATGCTGATAAGGATTGTTTAATCACAGATATGGAATATGAAAAACTCTTAAACTATTTATTTATACAAATTTTGGATTATGCTCATTTGAAACTGTGTAAAATGAAACTTAGATTCCTTTAAATATTTTGAATTGACAGCTATAGATAGATGAAAGGATGGCTAAATATTTTCTCACATAAAAATTGAATTTAAACTGTGTAATGTAGAGATCTTATTCTGTAGGGATAATATTTTGCACAAACTACTTTAAATAGTGAAATCTCTCTCCAGTGGATGGCTTTACTTATATATCTAAAACTCTTAAATATGAAAAGGGGCAATTTTATTACAGATAAGGATTACATAGCTTTAATTCCCTAAAAATAAAATTAGTTAGATGAGCCATATATCATATCATAACATATATTTCATGTGGCTTCTTCTGTTACACATTTCATGAGCAACTCTTTATACCCTAGTCCTCCCAGTCAAGGAGTTGCTCCACTTGTCGCTAGGCCAGCTAAACTCTTGGAACGTACGTCATCTATGCTGATTCTCGCAGTGATACGCGTTTGAACCCGCTGACACAAGCAGCAAAAAAATGAAACACGAGCGATAAGCAGCTAGCAAGTATTCCTATTTAACATACATGCGTATATATATATATGTATGTATATGTGTTTGTGGTCTAGCATACATACATATATTGCATGCGACGGCTGCTGACCATGACGTGGCGCTAGGCTCTAAGTTCCTTGTAAACCGGCCGACACCCACGCCTTATCAGAGCCATGGTGTTTATGGCCGTTCAATGGTCAATGCGAAAGACGTTTGCTATCGGGCCAGCTTGATTGATTAGACACCTGTTGTTGTTCTTCTTCTTCTTCTTGGTGCAGTTGAAAAACGTTGCTAGCTTCCGCAAGGAGAACAAAGCTCTGGTGCACGGCCTGCAGGTGAAGGATGTGCAGGAGCGCTTCGTCAAGGGCAGCGTCATCAATGTGCTGAAGAACTGCGACCAGAAGGGCCGACGCGTGCTCATCGTCAACTGCGGCAAGCTCTGGGATCCCAATCTGATACCCAGCGATGAGATGTTCCGCATGCTGTACGTGGTGCACATTGCCGCCCAGCTGGAGGAGGAGACACAGGTGCGCGGAGTCGTCTGCATTATGGACTTTGATGGCCTGGCCATGAAGCAGGTGAAGGCGCTGTCGCCCAGCTTCTCCAAGCGTCTGCTCACCTTCATACAGGAGGCCATGCCGCTGCGCATGAAGGAGGTGCACATCGTCAAGCAGCCCTTCATCTTCAACATGGTCTGGACGCTCTTCAAGCCCTTCATCAAGGAGAAGCTGAACAAACGCGTAAGTTGAGCAGTCTCTCTCTCTCTCTCTCGCTTTTACTGATCTTCATTTCTCTAAATTTCAGATGCACTTCCATGGCAGCGACATGAAATCTCTGCACAAGTTCCTCGACCCCTCGGTGCTTCCAGCCAACTACAAGGGCACCCAGCCAGCCATCGACTATGGCGGCCTTGACTGGTTCCCCGCCCTCGAGCAGCAGACCGAATATGTGAACACCTGGAGCGAGATGGGACCCGCCCAGTGGTAGAGCTCTATGAGTCCTTGGGCAGCCAGTCCAAACATTAGTTAATCCTTGTACTTATAAATATGTTCTTGATTAGTTCTTAGCAATTGACAATAAATTAGTTAACATAATGCCAAAACCCCAAGCGATTCCCGACTATCAAATGGGTAT